GGCGCTGTCCCTCAGCTCTTCAGCTCAAGGCTAGCACTCTACTGCTTGAGCCACAGCGCCACTTCTGGCTTTTTTCTTTTTGCTTATGTGGTGTTGAGGAATCGAACCCAGGGCCTCATGCATGCAAGGCAAGCACTCTACCACTGAGCCACCTTCCCAGCCCAAGATGAGGGGGTGGAAAGGGGGTCTGGGATGTACCACTCAGTGAAACCACGACATCCACATGAGCTTGCAGCGGTGATAGTGAATCCAGCCTGGAGTCCCTTGTCCCTACTCTCAGCCGCGCCCTGTGGAAGTTCTCTTTGGCATGCATTAGAGGAGTCAACGTTCCCTACCAGGTTGTCTTCAATTTTTTTTTTTCTTGCAAGGACACACGTGTCTTCCACGGAAAAGCGAATCGCTTTTTATTGTTGTTGTTAGCTTTTTTTGATCAAGGCTTGTGCTCTTCCACCTGAGGCACAACTCTACTTCCATTTGTGTGTGTGTGGTTAATTGGAGATAAGAGTCTCATGGACTTTCCTGACCCAGCTGGCTTTGAGCAGGGATCCTCAGATCTCAAGACTCCAGAATAGCTAGGATTACAGGTCTGGGCCTGTAATCCATCACCTCCATCACTGTATTATTTCACTGCTCTGGGCTTGTTAAAGTTTTCTTTTTTAAAGTAATTGTACAACAGTTCAACAAGTCCAGATTATGAGTTCAATGCATCTTGACCAGTGTCACCCTTTGCATCATTCTTCCTTTTGGCTTTTTACAGAAAATAAACCCCATAACAAAACCACTCAAACAGGGAGCCAATATTTCCTGTAGTGCTTTGCAGTTAGTTGATTTCTTACCTTGGGAAGACATTAGGCTGCCATGCTTGGTTCTGTGCTTTTCTTTTTTGCTAGTCCTGGGGCTTGAACTCAGGGCTTGGATACTGGCCCTGAGCTGCTTTTGTTCAAGGCTAACTCTCTACCACTTGGGCCACAGAGCCATTTCCAGCTTTTTCTGTTTATGTGGTACTGAGGAATTGAACCCAGGGCTTCATGCATGGTAGGCAAGCACTCTACCACTAAGCCACATTCCCAGCCCTGAAAAAATTAATTCTTGAATAAGTTTTAGGCTAATTTATGTGGAGTGATTGCTGAGAGTATGAAATGATTTATATGATCAGTAGGATAATTGTGACATGTCACTGAAACCCAGACTTCTGTTTGGAAAATATTATAGAAGAAGTTCTGTAGGCTAAGTGTGGTGGTTCACTCCTGTAATCTCAGCTACTTGGGAGGTGGAGATAGATGATTGCTCAAGACTAGCCCAGATCAAGTTTGCAAAACTCTCTGAAAACTTAAAGGGCAGTCAGGAAGTATGACTCAAGTAGTCAAGCACTTGCCTACCAAGCGCAAGGTCCTGAATTGAAGCCCCAGTACTGAAAAAGAAAAAAAGTGTTTTCAGTTAATATAAAAATGTCTTGCTGTGTGCCATTGGCTCACACCTGTAATCCTAGCTACTTAGGAGGCTGAGATCTGAAGATTGTGGTTCTGAGCCAGCCCAGGCTGGAAAATCCCTAACACTCTTATCTCCAGTTAATGACCAGAAAAATCCGGAAGTGGTACTGTGGCTCAAGTGGTAGAGTGCTAGCCTTGAGCTGAAAAGCTGAAGGACAGCGCCCAGACCCAGAGTTCAAGCCTCACAACCGACAAAACAAACAAAAATGTCAGACTTTTAGTTCTAAACTGGACATGTTTTCTGGATTTCAGGGTCTTTTTGGAGTTCCTGAGCTCAGTGCCCCCGAGGGATTTCGCATCGCACAGGAAGAAGCGCTGAGAAAGGCAGATTCCCTGGTGGAGCGTGCCTGTTCCACACCCCCTGGGCCACAGACTGTGGTTATCTTTGATGAGCTCTCTGATGCTTTGTGCCGGGTGGCAGATTTGGTAAGTTGCTTTGTCTGAGACTCAATAGTGTTCTTTCAAGCCAAGAGCTGGTGGCTCATTCTGTTATCATACCTACTGAGAAGGCTGAGATCTGAGGATCGTAGTTAGAAGCCACCTGGGGCAGGAATGTTCTTGAGGCTCTTATCTCCAGTTAACCACCAAAAAGCCAAGGAATAGAGCTGTGCCTCAAGTGTAGAGCACTATCCTTGAGCACAAAAGTTCAGGAACAGTGTTCAGGCCCTGAGTTCAAGCCCCAGGATTGGCACCAAAAAACTCCAAACCAAAATATCCTCCGCTTTCAAGTGGTTAGCACTGAAGGGAAGTTGTTTATTTTTTTATTTGTTGTTTAAGATTAATATTAGACCATATGGTTAGAAATAGCTGTAAATATTTGTGACTTGTTGGTTATAAGTTTTCATTTGAAATATGCTGGTAGCTGTGGGTTAAATGCACAGGAAAAGGTAATATTGAGAATTTGAACTTTAGTATGTATACACAATGAAATATACTTGTAATATGTAAGAATTGATGCTCTTTTTTTTTTGGCTGGCCCTGGGGCTTGAACTCAGGGCCTGGGCACTGTTCTTCTTTGTGCTCAACGGCTAGAGCACTTGAGCCACAGTGCCACTTTTGGCTTTTTTTGTTTTTTGTTTTTTTAGTAGATTATTGGCCAAAAGAGGCTCATGGGGACTTTACTGCTTGGGCTGACTTCAAACCATAATCCTTATATCTCAGCCTCCTGAGTAGCTAGGATTACAGGCGTGAGTCACTGGTGCCTGTTTTTTTTGTGTTTTTTTTTTTTTTTGGAGATAAAGTCTCCTATGAAGTCCAGGCTTGCCTGGAATATGAGATCCTTCTATCTCAGCCTCCTGGCCGCTAGGATTACAGGTGTGTGCCAACCATGCCTGACTCCTAAATTATTATGATGATGGTATTTTTTGCATAAGAAGAGTGGAAACCAGTCCTCCCACTTTTTTCTTTAATTACATGTAAGTCCTTGTATAAAAGGGTTTCAGTTGAACGCATTAGTTTGTGAGTATAATGTATGTTGAACATCACTCTTTTAATCTTTCTCCCCCATCTCTCCCCAAGATGCTCATGTGTAAACTGAATATCATGACTGTTTTATCTACCCTTCCTCTCCCTTCCTTTGTCTGTTCTCCTCCCTCTGTCTCTTTCCCAACATAGTTTAGCTTCCTGGTATTCATTTTTGGTATAAGCCTTTTCAGGAAAGACTTTTTTTTTTTTTTTAAATCAAATTGTATTAAAGACTTTTAAGATTACATTTAAAGATGAAATAGAAGGGCTGGGAATATGGCTTAGTGGTAGAGTGCTTGCCTTGCATGCATGAAGCCCTGGGTTTCATTCCTCAGTACCACATACACAGAAAAAGCCAGAAGTGACGTTATTGCTCAAGTGGTAGAGCGCTAGCCTGGAGCAAAAGAAGCTCAGGGACAGTGTCCAGGCCCTGAGTTCAAGCTCCGGGACTGGCAAAAAAAAAAAAAAGATGAAAGAGAAATGTACCTAGCTAGGTATCTTCATCAACTAAGATGTCCATCGCTGAGAGAACTCCCTGGGAGAGCCACGTGTCATTCCTGAGGCTGGTGGAGGCGGCTCATGAGTGATCTTGTCTATTGCTATTAAGTACCATCACCTGTCTTCACATTCATTCCATGTAGAGGGTCTGCTTGGGCCAAGCTCCAACCTGGGTGCTGGAAACCACCGTCCCTTCCTGACTGCGGGCTGGGCATGGGCTGACTCATTCTGAGTGTTCTCCTCAGGCAGCCGCTCAACTCTTCTCTTCCCCCAGAGTTCTGGAGTTCTGGCTTTCCTGATCACCTCCCATCCTCAAACTCCTATCCTCTTTTCATCCAAGAAGTTTTCATGTTTTCTCTGAGAAGTTCCTTCTTCACCTATATATATATATTTTATATA